TCTGCCAAAAGTCTGAATAAGTGCTCATCGGCGTTGCAAAACAAGTGCGAGGCTTTTCTGCAACGATAGAAAACTGGAATCCGCAAGATTGGTTCAATTTTATAAGCAATCCCGAGGAGTAATTTTACACTGAGTCCTTATTAGCCTGAAGAGTTGCCACCATAGATGAAAATGAGAAATTGGCTTGAATATATTGGTGGCACATGCACAATTAAACAGGGGAAGCTTACTGATTGGATGGTAGTTTGAACCCTGGGTAGCTTCAATTGATGCTTGCCGAATGGTACCACTGACTTCGAATGGATCACAATTGCATCTGAATTTATAGATTACCGTTAATGTGTTAGAGTCGTCGACCGCTTATTATATGATACGTTTATCAGGATGGATCCTTGAATAGACACCACGTTTTCGTAGCTACAAAATTAATTCTTACAGTGGCACTGGATAGTCATGTGAGAATCCCCTTTGGAGAAGAAACCTTGGGGTGATGATGAGTGGACAGATTTTTCCTGTACACCGTCGGATACTCTTTTGAATCTTTGACTTAGGTGTCTTTCGAGTAAGATAACACGTGTTCTCGAACCAAAGTCCAGTTACCTCAGTAACAAGAATTACGGGGAAATAATCGCGCCGAACTTGTTCAGACCCATTTGACAAGGATATATACCAAGCTGGTAGGAATGGATACGGTGAATATTAAAACAAATAAGATAGACAGTAGTTTGGTTTGACTAACTTAGAAACAAAGCTGTAATCTGGAAGAAAAAACAAAGTCGCGAAACTCTGAGTACCGAACCTTAGGCTAAGGGTTAACCAATAAACACGATTGTTGACTTTTTAGTTTGCAGTAAAATTATATGCTTGACGTTAAGATCAGTTAAATTCATTTGTCCGCCTTGATTGAAAACACGCATATATTGATCAGTATGATATGGTTTAGAGTTTGTTCACACCTCGCTGGTCACGAAATGCTACACTAATCCCAGCGAACGATCAAAAATGGTGATTAGGCCCGGAGAATTAACTGAAGTGCCGACTTGCTCTGCCTTACCTAAACAGTCGTCGATCTGATGATTTAGGTCAAACAACCTTGAGCCAACTGATTCAGTTCACATTTTTCTACATCACAGAATAAATAAAAAAACTGCATAACGTTCAAAGAGGGTAAGAGATTAAGGATCAAACAAAGTCCAGCGATATTTCGATAGACACACGGATAGATAACCTCATTAAGCTTTTGGTTCCCCAATCTGCAAGTTCTTTGTAAGAATTATAAGTAATAAGTGTAAGTTTTATGTGACTTCCCGATCTTGCTGCTACCGCTACTTTGAGTACTGTTGAATTCGGATGGCTAATTTAATCATTCACTGATCCGGATGCACTAAAGATCGACCACTGTTACGGTCCCAGTGAGCTAATTGCACTAAATTTCATTCCGGAAGGCCGTATTTGTCATGTATGCCTGCTCTCCCTCTCACTTTAATTTTGTTGCGGATGTGATTTCAGAAAAGATGCTTCCTTCGAACGAGAAAAGAAGCCTCTATAATATAATGTTGATTGAAGAGGTAAATAAATCTAAGGTTTTTCTGGATGATCAGGATGTTCAAGAAACCCTATTTAGCATACTTTCACTCCTTTTTAGCGCTAACTACAATTAGAGGATTGGGTTGATGCAGCTGCAATCCTTAATCTAACTTGGATGGTAATGGAAATTGACAAAATTCACTAATTGGATAACTCCCTTTAGCCTAACGGATGAAGATAGGATGATGTGTAGGCACTCTAATGTAACACTTTTATCTTCGTTCAACCTAAGACAAATCACACCCGCCCGAGTGTCACTGTATGGTAGAGGCCTTTGACTGTTACAGGATAAGATAAGTGTTGAGAATGGGTGCCCGAGCTCCAGTGTTTACGAGACACTTGAAGTGTTCAGTAAATCAACGGGAAAAGTAATGACGAGGCGGAGTGGAGAGCATTATTTCGTTACAGAAGGGAACTTACGCTATTTTTTGAACCCCATAGATTCTGGTGGACAGTCAGGTTTTACGCGTCCCCGAATGATGGTGGACGACATTTGACGAGACAGGTAGTAGTTGCAAGGAGGCCAAATGTGGTCAGACTGGTTTATTACACAGATACAAAAGTCTTGATCAGGGGGCTTGTTTCGTTATCATACGTTAGGCTGCCCAGCTAGGAATCACATGACTAATCAATCGTCGACCGTTAGAAACAATGTTTTGGTGAGTCGAGTAAAAAGAAACACTCCTAAAAATACAGGCTAATAACGCTTTTCATTTCTTCGGCATCATAGTATCACCATCTTACCAACCAAAACAGGGGCACTGAAATACGAAGTTATTGGTTACATAGCCTGAACTCAACTGAAAACCGTTCATGGCAGGTAGAATGAATTACTGGTTGCAAACTTTAAGTACTATAAAACTAAATTAGTTTCACTGCTGTTTCAAAAGAAACTAAATCTAGGATCCCATAATGTGGATTCTTTGGCTACTGAAAGAAAATTAGTACTTTGGAAACCGGAGACGAATGATCCCTCTCCCCGTGGGAGCATATGTTCAGTAGACAAATTCCAGAAAATAGAGAGGTTTCCGTTTGTTATGGACGAACACACTTTAGAGTCTTGCTATGACTTCACATGCCCAGCTCCCTCAAACTCCTTTCGTGAAGGAATAAAGAAAATACCACATTAGCGGCGTTAAATCAAACATGCGTAGACCATCCAGTCGGAGTGATTCAAAATACTTATTAAGTCTTAAAGTTCGTCAGATCACATGACAGTCCTATTGAATATTGTAATCTTTGCTTGACCTTGCTCTTATATCGGTGGTTATTCTACGACGCTTGTTGAACTAAGCACTTGCATGTTATCAGTTACTGTAATCATGTACATATCTACATTGAAAGAGGTACCTTACTGTTAATTTCGTAGAATTCTGTGAGAATCTTGAATAATTCATGTCGGGAAGATAAAAAGATGTTTGGTAATTATTACATAACAATGGGTCTATGCTTATTGGTGAGCTATCACGTGACCGTTCTTTATTGAGTAAACTCAGAAAGTGTGTAGTACCTCTCTTTCGAAATACGGGAATAACTGACATGAGCCACAATCATGAAACTGACAAAAGAAACGTGCGTCGATGGATGTATTCCTGGTAATATGACATTACAAACAAAAATTTTGGTTTCGGAAACTACTCGTATCACCTTCGATTAAATGAAAGACGACCAAAGGGTGGGGTCAAGTGACCGGCTTGTATTGCATTGGTAATACACTAGTGGCTTTAGAACAATGCACATTAACACTCGGAGTCGAAAAGTAAGCAAGTACGTTTGGCATTAGCAACGTTTCGTCTGTTCATTGGTTAGAAAAGTCCGGATAAATAATGACCCAACCAAATGGAAATATTGTTGGCATATCAGATATATTCGTGTATGTCTATTATTTATGAAGTGTCCATGCAAATTGTAAAGCTGCCGCCAAACTCAACCACTTCAAATTACAGCTTTTTATAAAAAAACCACAATCTTCTTTCATCTCTAGTGCTCAACTGCCCACTTGAAAATTGACAATTACCATAGTGTCGATTTCGTGAATCGCATCGATCGATAGCATTGATAGTTCCTTCAATGAATTAGTTTTCCGTCGTAGGGTCTATCTTCAAATTTACCGGATATCAAAACATTAATACAAGCTATCACAGATCAAAGTATTCTGTCTCACTGATAAGGTATTCGAGCTTTAGTTGGATTCATACAGGTCGAATGCGGCGGTTGTTTTGCGGGTATAAAAGTGGTCAGGTGTAAACTCAAAAAAAGGAAATCGTAGCGCTTGTTGAGCAGATTTATTTGGTTGTTTAGGAATAGTGGTAAATAAAAAATTATCACGATATAGGCACAATTTTTCCGAACCTATTTACTGAATACTTGTGAAAGGTTATCTGCGCAAACAGTTGGCGTCTTCTAAAAGCGTGCGAACCACACTCAAGTTGAAAGCATGATTTGGAGTCGTTCCGGTCAGTTGTTAAATAGCTGTTCCGTCTAATTGAATATGGATAGCAAACGATTGGCTTGAACTGCTCCGGAAGTCCTCGACCAGTTTGGTAACAACTTGCCGGTGCTTCATTGTTAAGCATATCAAGAATCAGCCATACGCCACCGAGTTGATCACTGTTCGGCGAATTAAGGAATGCCTAACACTGGCATCACAAGCTGATCGTCTGGTGTTTATAGGCATTACCATGAAGTACAGTAGAGTAATTAGTCTTACCGAGTTACATGTTAGATTGCACGCCCCTTTGAGTTTCACTTGTGAAGTGCACTGGATCGATCGAATTCAGACTGATGATGCCTCAAATTTATATCGATTACATGAACAAAGTCTTTTTTTTGGGGTGGGGGTGGGGGGGGATCGGGTGAGTGCTGCTTTCTGTTTGTATTCACCGCTCACGTAGCATAACAGGTTTTCATTCATTAATCACGAGTCTCTTCTCTTCAAGGTAACGTTAGGCAGTTACTTTCAGCTCTTATCATCACTTCCCAAATTTTCCACTTTTCTGTGCTCCTAGGCAGCCTTTGATTGACCGCAGCTTTACTCTTGAAAATTGTCAGTACCAGTCGAAATAAAGAAAGAAGAAGAAATAAAGAAATAAAGAAAGTTCATGAATGCTCTATTGTAAGCCTTGCCGGTGGATTTGCAAATCGTCTCTTCCGGGTTAAAAATGAATAGCATGTCAGTTTCTCGTCGTTAATTAACTAAAGCAGAAAGTGATCCTATCCTGGACAGATATATTGTTCGCAAACAAATTTTTAAAATAGATTTTATGTCCATTTTATGCCCATCATTTGAAAGACAAGCTTACCCGATGAAAGACATTAAAATGATAAAGAACCCGATAAAGTCAATGTAAAGTTACTAACTAACATGCGATCACTTACATTTATCTAATTAACAAACAGGTGGTTATCGCACAATGCCCACAGCAAACCTGATTGCGACATTCCCTCAACCATACAATGGTCAAGTGTCCTTCAAGATCAGTCGAGGTATAATCAAAGTGACCGGCTCCATCACCGGTTTGCCACCCAATTCTTTCTTGGGTGCACATATTCATGAAAACGGGGATCTTGGAAACCGCTGTTTGAATGCCGGAGGCCACTACAATCCATTTGGAATGTGAGTCTACCCATGATTGTTCATCAGTTCGTTTTCTATATCTTTGTCGGGGTTAAACTAGTAGGAGGCTCTGATCGTTGGCTTATAGAATGACGGCTAAATAAAACTGCGCTAGTAGATAAGACGTTAGGAAACACGTGATAACTCGTTCGATGCATTCACGAAGCCAGTGTTGAACGCGCACCAATTGATTGACTGACCTGGATGATCAATTGATAACCAGCGAATGTTTATGCACTCCTGTCCCTATTGAAAGAAATAAGTAAGTAATACGTGTTCGAATCGTGTCTTTGCTGATTTCCACAAAGGTCACTCGGTAGGGTGAGTGCCCTGATCCGATCATCCCGCCAGACTGTTTGATTTGGGACTCAGCGGAAGTTCCGTAAGAGCGCAGTAATAGTACAACTGCGTTCTACGATGCTCCTATGTACGCGATTTAATGTAGTCCAAAAAGACCGTGCACTATGCTATCCGTGCATGATTTCGGTTGCGTACTCAACAGTGAGATAATTTCGATGTGGATTTTAAGAGGAAACAGACTATAAAGATATACAAAACTGGGAAATATGCGGATCAACTACTGTATATATAAATTAGATTGAACAGCTTTATTGAAAAAAACATGATTTAAAGCGCCACTTTCCGTTCATTCTTCCAGGTCACATGGTGGACCAAAGGGAACTCCTCGGCATCCTGGCGATTTCGGTAACCTACAAACCGATGAAAATGGTGTGGCAAAGGTGGATCTGACGATTTGCTGTTCGCGACTGACGAACAATTTTATGTTTCTCGGGTTAGCCATGGTTATTCACGAGGGAACGGATGATCTTGGTCGGGGTGGTGATGCGGGGAGTCTTGCTACTGGGAACTCTGGCGGCCGAATTACTTGTGCTGTTGTCGGATTAGCCCGTTCCAGTCGATGATCGGATAATCAGATGGGAGAGCACCGATGCTGAAGGACGGAAAACGTGAACGGACATTTTATTTTGTGTATTAGATTTGTACCTTTTAAAATAAATGTGCTTTTCGGTAAACAGCAAATATTGCATTGTTTTATTCTGTGCATTGTTCTCTGACTAGCTCCGATGTTTGATTCCCGATTTCACTGATCTTAGGAATAATTCGAAAACTGAGGGCGCCGTAGGTTGCACTGCTTTGCGATGAAGTAAATAAATCTTGCACCTCAGCTTCTGTTTCATTCCCTTTACCACTGCTACTGACGTGGAACATTCCCTTGGATAACCCGGTTGTTACTTTCCCCAGCTGGTTGCTAAATATCACTGTAGAAGGTGAATTATCAAATAAATCGTAAAATAGTCCCATAGACAATGTGGAAAACGCTATTCGCAAATGTACGCCGAAGGATTGCCAAACATAGCCTGAAGGATACATTTAGCTTTATAGAGAAGATAGAAAACCGCAATGTTCTCAACAAAACTTTGATGTCCTTCGATGTGGAATCCTTGTTTACAAAAGTAGTGCTGATAGAAACAGTTGATCATATTTGTGACTTCTTAGTTTCTAGCAACATCCACGTCGGAATTCCGGTGAACAAATTAAAAGAGTTGATTCACAGATTTACATTTAACCTACAGACAAATCGACGGGGTAGCCATGGGGTCTCCACTAGGTCCCATATTGGCAGTTACTTTCCTAGCCAAACTGGAGAACAAAAATTTGAGAAACAGTTCGACATTTATTGCAGATACCTGGAAGATAATTTTGTTGTTTGGGATTTTCACATCAGCCACACTCAGCTTCTCGACGAATTCAACAAGTGTCATCCGGCTATTCGCTTCACCTGGGAACTAGAAAAGAGCGGAGAGGTACTTTTCTTAGATGTGTTATTAACAAAGCGAGACGACGGTGCCATCCAAAGAATCGCCTTCAGCAAAACAACTTGGGTTGGAAAGTACACGCATTTTTGTAGCTGTGCCCCCCTGAAATATAAAAGCAACCTGGTCAGATGTTTATCATGCCAAGCGCATGCGATTTGCAGCGAGGATACACTGCAGTCCGAGATACGTTTTATTCATGACGTACTTCGGTTAACTGGTTACCTGGAAGCTTTTATTCATAAACATATACGTTTGAAGACCAACCCGAGCAAAATCCCCACCGTTCTTCACAAGAACGTTTTCCTTACTGTGCCGTTTAAGGGCGACGATGCCCTGGAACTTCTNTTCTTAAAGGACGTTTGTCAAAAGCGATCTCTAGAACATACCCCGCAGCTCAACCGCATATCCTCACTACCACTCGGCCCTCGGTGTCCCAGCAAATTAAAGATAAGTTGCCTATTCAGTCCGAATCTTTTGTTCTATATCTTTTCACGTGCACTTGTAGTGTGCGATAGATCGGACATACGACCAGGCGATTATCAAAACGTATTATTGAGCACTGTCCCGCGGCCCTCTACAAAGGAACGGTTAGATCTATTAGCAGCTCGGTTCTCGGTCATCTCGTCGATAGTGGGCATTTTGTGAACAAATTGGATGCAGTCAAAGTTATGCATACCATACCCCG